GCACCTTAGTATTTCACTTCCGCACTGCGCCTCCTCTGAGTCTCGGTATGGATTTCTCTTTCCTTCTAGTTGTAGGATTTCCACTCAGCCAGCCTTCCTGTGGTTCTGGGTGATGTCCGTTCCATCTTTTAGTTGTATTTTTGAAGTGGTTGTTCGAGGCAGCAAACTCCGGCGTTAACCTATGCCGCCATCTTGGTTTCTCCTAGACTTCCTTTTCTTGTTCAGTACAACACCTTTTTACTTCTCCCCTTCCTGTCACTCCCCTCACAAACTCATCAGTCTTTCTTTGTAGTACTTCCTCCTTTAGCTGTTGCTATTCTCCTACAACACTTGTATCTATTAATGTTCCCAATGTTTATACTTTTATTGTTAAAGCTACCCCTGGTTTTTTTATTTTAAATAACATACACATATTACAGTGATGCTTAAGAACCATCACTCTCAAGGTGTGATGATGACTGAAGAACCCTTGATAACGAGAACATTTCTGAATCTTTGATCATTTATCTGAGTGTCAGATTAATACTCTAGGACAGTGATGGCGAACCTATGACACGCGTGTCAGAGGTGACACGCGAACTCATTTTTTTGGTTGATTTTTCTTTGTTAAATGGCATTTAAATATATAAAATAAATATCAAAAATATAAATCTTTGCTTTACTATGGTTGCAAATATAAAAAAAATTCTATATGTGACACGGCACCAGAGTTAAGTTAGGGTTTTTCAAAATGCTGACACGCCGAGCTCAAAAGGTTCGCCATCACTGCTCTAGGATCTAGGGCTTTCATTGATATGGCTCAGTCTACCCCAAGGAATACATTCTATTGCTAGGCTAAGCCTCCTCATAGAAGCATTTTGGAACAACCTATTAGTTGTTGCTGTTTGGTCATTAGAACTTAACTGGTAACATATTCGTAGAGTAGCCACTATCTATCTAGAATTGTGATAGCACAAAGGGAACATATGCCATGGTTCCTCCTTTCATGAAACTTTGTTGTGCACATATACAATTGATAAAGATAATTTGGTAATGTTCTAAAACTATAGGAGAGATTTTTTTTTTAAAGATGTTTTTATTGATTTCAGAGAAGAAGGGAGAGGGCTAGAGAGAGAGAGAAACATCAATGATGAGAGAGAATCATTGATAGGCTGCCTCCTGCACGCCCCCAACTGGGGACCGATCCCACAACCCAGGCATGTGTCCTTGACTGGAATCAAACCCAGGACCCTTCAGTCCGCAAGCCAACGCTCTATCCACTGAGCCAAACCAGCCAGGGATAGGAGAGATTTTGTAAGCCAAAGTAATGAACACCCATAAAAATCATATCTAGATCCACATAGGTTTTTCAGTAGGCTCAAATAATATAAAGCATTTAGTAAGTTATTGACAATTGATTATTTGATTAGAATTTTTAAATAACTTTGAGAATGATGTGGATTAGAAATAAAATAAAAAGCAGTTTATACTTTAAAAACAGATGTTAGATGTGGAGAACCAGTTTGTTATAAATGTACATTCTCAATGTGGCACTTTTTTCTTTCTTTAAGCAACCTGTCACACAGTAGGCGTGTGCCAAAGATTGGCCCTTATCCAGATTATTCTTCTTCCTCATACATTGAAGACTCTATCCATCACACTGACAGCATTGTGAAGAATATTTCCTCTGAGCATTCTATGTCTAGCACACCTTTGACCACAGGGGAAAAGAACCGAAACTCAATTAACTACGAACGACAGCAAGCACAAGCTCGAATTCCTAGCCCTGAAACAAGTGTCACCAGCCTGTCCACCAACACAACCACCACCAACACCACTGGCCTCACTCCCAGCACTGGCATGACCACTATATCGGAGATGCCATACCCAGATGAAACAAATCTTCATGCCACCAATGTTTCACAGCCAATTGGGCCAACCCCTGTCTGCTTACAGTTGACAGAAGAAGACTTGGAGACCAACAAGCTAGACCCTAAAGAAGTTGATAAGAACCTCAAAGAAAGTTCTGATGAGAATCTCATGGAGCATTCTCTTAAGCAGTTCAGTGGGCCAGACCCACTGAGCAGTACCAGTTCTAGCTTGCTTTACCCACTAATAAAGCTTGCAGTAGAAGTCACTGGGCAGCAGGATTTCACACAGGCTGCCAATGGCCAAGCATGTTTAATTCCTGATGTCCCACCTGCTCAGCTCTATCCTCTCCCCAAGCAACAGAACCTTCCCAAGAGACCTACTAGTTTGCCTTTAAACACCAAAAATTCAACAAAGGAGCCCAGGCTGAAATTTGGCAGCAAGCACAAATCAAACTTGAAACAAGTAGAAACTGGAGTTGCCAAGATGAACACCATCAATGCTGTAGAACCTCATGTGGTTACGGTTACCATGAATGGGGTGGCAGGTAGAAATCACAACGTTAACTCCCATGCTGCCAGTGCTCAGTATGCGAATGGGGCAATACCATCTGGCCAGACAGCCAACACAGTGGCACATAGGGCCCAAGAAATGCTGCAGAATCAGTTCATTGGTGAGGACACCAGGCTGAATATTAATTCCAGTCCTGATGAGCATGAACCTTTATTGAGGCGAGAGCAACAGGCTGGCCATGATGAAGGTGTTCTGGATCGTCTTGTGGACAGGAGGGAACGGCCGCTGGAAGGTGGCCGAACTAATTCCAATAACAACAACAGTAATCCATGTTTAGAGCAAGATGTTCTTACACAGGGTGTTCCAAGCACAGTAGTAGATCCTGGACCATCAAAACCCAGAAGAGCACAGAGACCTAATTCTTTAGATCTTTCAGCCACAAATATCCTTGATGGCAGCGGTTTGCAATGTAAGTGAGGGGGTTGTGTAATCTCTCCTGCTTGTCTTTTGGGACCATTTAAGTAACTACTTAGAATCAGATTGTGTTTCAACTAACAATTATCTAGTTTTGTACTTTCAGAAATAAAATAAGCCATTTGGCTGGACCTAAAAAGTAATTAGACTATTGTAAAGAAAAACTTTTTTTTGTTATTGATAATTAAAAAATCAGTGTCACAATAGAATAATTACCAATTCAATGTGTGTCTTAAGTAGCTACTAGTTTATAATGCAACTCATATTTGCTGTGAATGATTAAGATTAAATAAATATCAGTTTAAAACCTCCAAGTAAAATGATGCCAGTACAACTTTTGAAAGTTTGTTGAGCATATTAATATCTATTATATACACATTTAGATTTTATCAGACTTAATAAATCTTGAAAGTCCAGAGAGAATTCAGAAAAGTCACTATAAAGTTGCTCTTGGTTTTTTAGTGTCATTTTTTTCAAGAGTTATGTATTGAGTCTCCCACATGCCTACAGCATTGTGCTATGGGCCCCCTAACAATTTAAACAAATAACTTAAACAACTTGATACTTAGTTTCTGGCCCTGAAAGGATTATAACACAAAACAAGAGAGCTCACCAAAATCTTTAACAGTCATCGTTTACAAAATAATTTCTCTTTTAGACCGACAGCACTTATGAAGAAAAACAAAGTCACGTTTTGTGGTTGTCAAAGACTACAAAATGGGCTGAAAGGGATTTAGCTCTCAAAAATCAATCAGTAGAATCTAGCCCGTGCTTGAGTGGTTTCTATTGTAGACCACTTGACCTATGGCAGGGCTCCATGTCAGTAAAATGTTTTGTCATGTATGGGGAATTACTAGAAAATTTGTATTCTAGGATTTCTGTCATTCTTCTGTAAACTGTCATGTGCCAGTGCCTTTATAATTTGATTCACTTTGAACATTAAATAGAATGATTAAATGCATTTTGCTAAGTTAGGATTGATACCAGTAACCAAAGGATTTGAGAATGCAGCTAAGAACTTTGCATTTTCTCCTCTGTTTTTGCTTTTAGTGGTTTTTAAATATTTTCTTCCTTGTCCTATAGAATAATTCAATTATAAAAACATTAGGCTTAAAGAGCCTCAAAAATAATTTAAGTTTTGCCTCGAAAAATACTGCCTGGAGTCATCAACTTTAAGAAATGTCTATTAGCACCTCCTGTAGACATTAGTTTGATCTCTTCTTGAATTGCAACTCTAAGTTTTTACTTTTTTAGTACTTTCTTTATATATAGTTCATTTTTCTGTACTTTTATTTTTAGTAGGTGAGTCAACACAAGATGGCAGATCAGGATCTGGTGAAAAGATCAAGAAACGTGTGAAAACTCCGTATTCTCTTAAGCGGTGGCGCCCCTCCACCTGGGTTATCTCCACTGAACAGCTGGACTGTGAGGTCAACAACAATGGCAGTGACAGGGCAGCCCATTCCAAATCTAGCACCACCGTTTACCTTGCAGACGGAGGCACTGCCACCACCATGGTGTCTAAAGATGTAGGAATGAACTGTCTGTGAAATGTTTTCAAGCCTATGGAGTGAAATTATTTTTCGCATCATTTAAACCTGCAGAAGACGTTTTTTAAAAACTGCTTTATCCTCCTGTCAGTACCCCACCCTTGCAACAGGACTTGCTTTAAATAGATTTCAGCTATGCAGAAAATTTAGCTTATGCTTCCATATTTTTTAATTTTGTTTTTTTAAGTTTTGCACTTTTGTTTAGTCTCACTAAAGTTATATTTGTCTGTTATGACCACAGAATTATATGTGTGTGTATCAAAAGTGGTCTCAAAATATTTTTTTAAGAAAAAAAACAAAAACAATGTATTGCTGATAATCAGTTTGAAACAGTTTCTAAAGGTCATTAAAACAGAAGCAAATTAAGACAGATTTGACTTCAGTGGTGTCCGGTATCCATGTTTTATTTCTGGGCACAAGCTAGTTTATTTTATATGTTGATCCGTTCCTAACATATTATCTGTTGGACATTCTTTTCTCTTGTGTTTTGTTTGAATGTGCAATAGTCTGTAGCCACAAATAAGCTTTCTTGTAAGCTCTCTTCCTAACAGAGCACACATTCTTCCATAATATGAACATTTTTCTCCCTCCAACTTTTGTCAGGTTTGTTTTATGACAGTGAATTTTGCAGAAGAGAAAGCAACTACCTGATTTTTTGCTTTCTCTCTCTTTGTGGAAAATGCAGAAACATTGTCTCAAAGGGCTCTAAAGAAGGAACAACCAAAACCTAATTTGAAATGCTATTTCTTTTAACCTTCCAAATCCTAAATGTTTCCTTCCAGGCATTTTAACAAATGTATTTGGTTCTGGTTTTAGAAGTTCATAAGAGAGCATAGAACAAAGTAGAAGAAGTCCTAATATTAGCCTTTTTCCATTTTATTTTATTTTTATATGTATGTTATGTTCCATTTTCATTTATTTAAGAAGCACATTTTTATCAGAAAACTTATAGAGTTATACTTATATGGAATTTTTAAGTAGGTAGATGGTTAAGACAATATAGTGTTATATCCTTTATTCTCTAAGTAGGCCACCTTTGACTCAAAATTACATTTCCTGATTAAAATAACTTCAAAAGTAATTCCTAGTTTTGAACCTACAGTGTCTTTTTATCCTCTTTACAAGCAAAGACTGATGACTGTCTGAAAAAGATTCCTCTCCTCTTCCTGTGACCTATAACACTGTGTGGAAAAAAATTGTTTGACTGGCATGCCAAATCCCTGTGGAAGGAAGGGTTGCTGCCAAACCTATCATCTCTGAGCAGACAGAGACTTTCCTCTCTCTTTTCAAAGCTGGGTGTGTTTTTTTTTTCACTAATCCTATTTTCATAAAATCTCCTTTTGCCAATTTTTCACATGATTTTTGATATGTGAACAGCATTTGTTATTTACATTATATTCAGAATATACCTTTTAGTGATAACATGTTATGTATCCATCAAGTCATATTGTTTTTAAAGCTTCTTTGCCTCTTCATTACTCATAATCATTTCTAAAACAACAACCTCTGCATTTTTAAAAATAAAGCACTTTATGTCAAATAAGGGACTGTTTTTTATAAGCACAAATTATTTTCTATCAATTTTCAAACAGCGATGATCTCACTTATTTTTTACAGATTCTCAGAGTACTTAGTACTTATTATCTAATTAAGTTCTGTGATTTCTCTGGGAGATAAAAAGCTAAGAGACAAACAAAAATTCTGAACAATATTTTCTCATTCAGATTCCTCTGTCTTCATCATTTAGCTAAAACAACCTAAATTTCCCAATTTGACTTGTATCAAATTTCCAAAACACTTGACTTGTATATAAGCCTTTTCTTGTTTGCCATCTGCGATGGTCTTGAGTTGGGTGTTGCAGCACTTACCATTTATTCAGCTAGATGGCTGAGCACAGTTTTGAATTCTTAGAATGAAGATTCTTTTACTAGTGCCCAGGATTTCCACCTTTTGTGTTTTAATGGCCCTTATCTTGATTCAGACCCTTAACATATTTTTCAGTCTTACGGCATAAAATATTTTTCATCCAGTTAGTCTTTTATAATGTAACAAATTATTTATATCTTTCCCAGGAAATTTTACTTCGTTCCCTTGCCCTTAAATGTCTTTCAATTGTGTTTCAGGGCATTATTTTCAAACATTTGTAGGACATCTTTGAATAAAAATAAACTATAGTCCTCCTTCAGTTGGAGGGTAAGTGACCATGTGAGGTCTGACTGATTTTTTCCTGATGGAAGAAGAGTTATCCTACATTATACTGTACTTTGTGTTCAAGCCAGTTGATTGTTTTTCAGCATTTTTTGATACTTAGTAATAAAATACTTTTAAAAGTTAACATACCAAATTAAAAGAACTCCTATAGTTTCTCATTTTCCATGATGTTTAAAACAAATAATTTCCTTTCCCCAGTTTGTTTAATAGACTCCTGAAAAAGTAGAAAGTGTAGGTCATTTTAATAAATTTTAAATTAAATTGTACATCAGACTCATTTACTTTTAGGATCTATTTATAATATACAAGCAAACAAAATTACTTAAAATGCTTGTTTGCCAATTTTTTTCATCTAATATTGAAGGTGTCTTAAAGCTAATATTTAACTGCTATCACAACATTTTGCATGTATAAAAACATTTGATTCCTTTTAAATAAAAGGCTATTAATGAAAAAATATTAAATTCATTTTCAGGAGAGTATTACAATCTTAAAAACATTATAATAGGTAATTAAAGAATAATATTAATTCCCTTAACTATTGTCATTATATGTCAGAACTAAGCCATTGAAAGAACCTGATTTGAATTGTGTTTAGTCAAAAATGACTTAATTATAATTCTTAAAAGTGTTCCCCCTTTAAAAATGTATAATTGGGGGGAAACCCTGATATCAGTGTAAAAAGTTTTGGGAAGGTGCAGGAGTGAAATAATACTAATTGACCATTTGTTGTAAACGGAATGTTGGGATATGCATACACCATCTCTTTTAGTCCTCATAGCAACTATATAAGAATTACAGTTAATATATCCCCTCACAGATGAGTAAACTGAAGCTAGGAGAAACTAAGTAATTTGCCCAAGGTCCACACCTAGTAATAGGCAAAGATGGATTTTAACTTAGGTTTGCCTGTCTCCACATCTCTCATCCATACCATATTGCCTACACACTATGACAGGATGTATAATGTCCTGACATTTTGTAAGAAATTAGTCATTATGGCTTATATATAAGCCAAACCCAGATACCTTAATGACTTTAAAAGGCAACCATAAGACGACGTGTGGACATACCTATGTTGATTGTGCTTGAGAAGTAATTACTAATTCAAGACAAAATTCAGTCCCACCTCTGCCATCATGAATCTTCAAATCACTTCACTCCTAACATCTTTATATTGAAGAACTAAGGTAAAGTAAAATTTAAGGGAAAAGTGAAGATGGCTTATGGGAACAGACACTTTTTCATAGATTGATTCCATACTTGATTTGGAGAAGTTGATTTAACATAGACTTTTAGTCTAATCAACCCTTTGACTTCACCTTGAAAATTTCTGCTTTTAGTGACTTTGGAAAATGTTACTAATCCAGAAAACGAGTTAAGGGAGATGTAGGAAGGATACAAGGATAATGTCCTAATAAAGCAATTTGTATAGTTTTCTTACATGTATCCACGTGTTCCAGAAAATGTATGTTGGTTCTGAATGTGAAAACAATTTAAAAAAGGAACACGTAAAATACGTGTTTCAGTGGGAATTATCACAAAATTTGGGAAGTATTTTCTTTAAAAGATTTAAAAATTTAGATTCTATAGCCAAATGAAATACCTGGTAGGCTTCAGCTCTTTACTGAACTTTCCATTCCCTGTAAACCTCTTTTCAAAGTCACTTAAAATGGAAAAATATTTCAATAAACTTTTTGGTGTTTTCTCATATTTATGGAGATGAATAATATTTCATTGGAGGTAGTTAGATTTTAGAACTTGAGATTACTTACATTTCTATACATTTTATAAATTTATGTTGAACTTATTACCAATTAAATGCAGGTTATTACATAACTAGTCACAGATTGCTTTATATAATACTTTCTCTTCCAAGCTGACTCCTTAAAGTTACAATCAACATTAGTTGATTGTCTAGATCAGTGACTCTAGAAATTATATAACAGTCCTACGTACGCCCCAGGAGTCTTTTTCAGACTAGGATGTTTCTAAAGATTCATACCTTTTACTGTCAATTTGCTCTTCAGCAGGTAAAATTGCATTTTAACTTTTAGATTCTGAACTATGCAAACTTCAGCCAAAAGTACCCTGCGTGACCCGCTCCTACATATACTTTAGTAAATCTGGCAAATCACAGTTTGAGCTAGTTACGCAAATGTTACTCTCAAAAGAAGGTTTTTCTGTAGGTTCCCAGATTAAACTTACATCAAGGAAGGGAGCCCCAGGGCCCTCTGGTGCACCTACACATTACTTTCCTTCAGTCACCTTAGTTTGTATCTGACTTACTCTATCCCTTGGTTATCTGACTTGTGATCTGTGTCAGGAAAGGGTTTTTTTTAAAAAAATATTTATTCTGCTTACCTCCTGTTTTTATTTTTTATCCATTTTTCTTATCCAGTAGTTAAAAAAAATGTTGGTTATCTTCTTCAACATTGTTATTCTTCAATATGCTTCAGGCATCTCATTTAACACCTAAGTCTCAGTTTTTCAGACAAAATTGCTTTAGTTTCTTTAGCATTTTATCCTCAGTCCTATTTCAATAACTATTTATATTTAAGAACACCTAAAATTATATTTTGTTATATTCAAGTTCATTACTCTAGTTAATAGTTCAATAGGATAGAATTGAGAATTAAGATGTTACCATTTGACAATGGATCCAACCATCAGATTGTCAGAAAATCACTGAGTTCAAGTTTTGTATCTAACATTTTCTCAGTTGCTGAGTTTTATGATTTTATGTTCTAATTAGTTACAACTAATGCATACAGAATTGTATATAATTTGCCATTAAAAAATTCTAACCTCTATTACAGCAAGCTTAGCCTTATGATTGAGCCACACAAAACATATATATGTTTTACATATTTCTTTGTATCAAATATTAAGACACAAAGTGCAACCTTAAGTTTCAAAAGCAAACCCTACAATATCAGGTATTTATGAACATTTTTGCAGACCATTATTGAAATATTTACCATTGTTTTGCAACGTAGACTAGACAATAACTTCCATTTAACTTTTAAGTGACTGGTTAAATTGAGTGTTTGTGCATGTAAAATTTAGGATTTTATCTCATGGCTGATACATTTGAAAGTAAATACTTAAGAATGTATGCTGTGTATTAAAATTATGCCCAAAATAAATCTATCATGTCTTGAAAATTCCAATTCCGTTATTACTGTGATGTTCGTAGTATTACTATGAAGCATGTGACAGTCATTTTTTAAACTTAACTTGAAACCCAGATTTTAAAATCTGGGTAAGAGAGGAGGAATCTTTAGAAATAAATCACGTCATTAGGATATCCAGTTTATGATTGAATTTTAAAGCAAATAACTTTTAAACTACAACTTGAGGTTGTTTTTTGTTTTGTTTTAAAAGATAATGTGGGTTTAGATTTCAGAAACATCTTCATGTTTAGACTCACTCTATAGACATAATATTACTTAAAAACTCAGGGCCCTTTCATCCCTCTACACATTGCAAAAGTTCAATTGGTAGTAAACAAGCAATTAGATCCAGTTGAATATTTAAAGTGTTTGTTGTACACACAATTCATTTAATGTTTCATCTTATGATTTGACTTAATTTACATATAGACAATACCAGATTTCATTAATCATAAAACGTGCCCAGTTCTATAATTACTGAAGAGAAATGGAAACAATCCAACTAGCTGACTACATATTGCAGCATATTTATGTCTAGAGTTGAAGCATCGTCTTCAAACTAATGTCCTTTGGTCAAGTGGTTATCATGATGTGACAAATTATTTTATTTTATATTATTTTTTAATGGGAGAACTTAGTAACATAGTTCCTCTGAGATAAAACATTTTTTCAGGAGGTAAACAGTATAAAACTGTGTTCTAAAAGTGAACTAAAGACTTTATAGCTTTAGTAATAGCTTGGGTGATTTTGAGAAGGTAACCTATGGTAACCTATTGTTAGGTCCAAATGGAATTTTTCTTTAAATCAGTTAAGTTCAAGCTCCAAATTGGTATGATGTACACTTAAAATCCTAGCAGTGAAGTTATTTGTAACCAGTCTCTTGTCTCAGGCTCTCCACCTTATTACCAATTCTTGTAAGTATGGTAGGAAAGCATTTTTAAAGAAACTTAATAAGAAAACTAAATTACTAAAAGATGCAATTCAAAGATAAGTTCTGGTTTAACATTGAATTGCTTGGCTTCTGTGGCTTTTCTTTTTCTGGTCACATTTATTTATTTAAACAGTTTTGTATGCCTTGTTGTCATGGGGATTATATTGTATAAGTGTTTGTATAAGCTGGAATCATCCTTAATTTTCTGTTGGTAATTTTTCAGATGAAGATAAGGGGATAATTGTATAATACACTAATGTAGGGTGTTGTAGCTGAAACATGGAGATGTATAGCTACTATGCTTTTTTCTGAGTAGACAGGAGAAACAAGCTACAGAGTATTCATTTCTGAGGATGCTTTTCTGGAATAAGAAAGGCTGAAAAATATTGTCAATTCCTCAGAACCCTCTTTCTTGTTAACGGGTATCTTTTGTTGGTGTGTTTTGCTCTTACATTACAGATAGAACATCATATATGAATTTATGAATCAGTTCAGTTATTTTGCTTTTGTATAAGCTGTCTGAGACCTTGCTATGCTGTATAAGTTGTGTTTGATGGATCAGTGTATGAAATAAAGCAAATCACTTTTCTTTTGTATTATCTATGGATGCCACTATGAAAGCTGACATTAAGCCACTAAAGAGTTTTCTATGAATAATTGTAAGTAAATGCTTTGCTATATATAAACCTAAATAAAAAGGTTGTATTGATACAGATACATTGGAGAAGGAGATTTTAAGACAGTTCTTTAGGTTTAAAAAAGGCTTGCTGTAAATGGTGCATTATTCCATTTATTAAAGATCATATTAATGACAACAGTAATCGTATCTTTTTTTTTTTAATCCTCAGTTGAGGATATGTTTTACTGATTTTAGAGAAAGGTGAAAGGAGAGGGAAGGAGGGAGGGAGGGAAAGAGAGAGAGATCCATGCATAAGAGAAACATCAACCAGTGGCCCCCCTGTATTCACCCCACCAGGGATTGAACCAGCAACCTTTCTGTGCATGGGAGGACACTTCAACCAACTGAGCCACACCAGCCAGGGCAGTAATTGTATCTTTTGATTTTATCATGTCACCGGAAGTTACGATTGTTAGTGTGATATTTTAGGTATTTTACAACTAATATTAAGTGTTCTAATATGACTTTTCATTCAGTATGATACATAAAAAATCACTAACATTACAGTAATAGTTGTATACCTACTATATGCCAGACACTGTTAGTTATTTTATATATGATGTTAATTCTCACAGTAATCCTACAAAATACATATTACTGTCCCCATTTTATAAATTAAAAAACTGAGGCTCAGAGAAGTTAAATACATTACCTTAAGCCACAGAACTGGTAAAGATGAGATTCTAATGTATTTTCCATTTTGCTTTGAACTACAGTTTTCAAGCTCTGGTTATGGCACAAGAAACTCAAAAATGAAAATGGCTCAGTGGTAGTATCCAAGAACATGAAGCAATTTGAGGTTACTGAAATGCGACCAGGTACAAAAACAACTGTCTCTATTGGTCCAACATTCTGTTTGTGCTTCACACCATTAAATAATCCTTTTAGTTAGATCTTTGTACCTTTAGGGGGCCTTATTAAAACAGAATATGAGTTTGTGAAGGCAACACATTGTTTCTGACTCTAGATTAATTCAGTATATTAACTAAGTGTCCTGGAGTAGAATCCTATGTCAATTCACAGGACAACCATGATTTAAAAGAGTTCTGGACCACTCTTACCTAGATGCCAAGGGAATTTTTGTTTGAGGAAAAGCATGGCCTACTCCCATAGACTCTGTTGTCACCTGAAATAATCTAGTATTTTAGAGATAATAGATCTGGAGTACCTTTTTGGTTTTGATTCACATGCCAAATCTTACAATGTAAGATCATGTTACAGGGTGTCATTGCAATTCTCTACAGAACCCACTACGTAACATTCCAGATGGTAACTAAATGTCCTCAGAAAAAATAGATAACCTGGGAGATAGGCATAACAGTGACCTGCTGGTTGTTTCAATAATGACTGACCACAAGGGACCTTACTCTCGCTGGCACCTATGCCTGTCTGACCCATCTTCCAAGTTTACATCCTTCCCTGCAAAAGGACTAACTTAAGCTAGCAATTAACCTTCCTCTTTACTTGCTAGTGTTTTTCAAATTAAAGGCCAAGTTCTATAAGTGGACAACTTTCATTTTGTTGGTATAATTATTCACTTTCTTGAAATTGAATCTTCACTGCTGTATCGATACCAAAAAGTATGATATGATTCCCCCCAAGAACTTAAATCATCTTGTGGAAGGGAGAAGGCCTATCCAGGAAATGGTTACATCCCAGCAAGATGATATGCATGTGCTCAAATAAGTGGTAAGCTATATGTTCAATATGTGTTTGAAGAGCCAGGGAAGACTTCAGTGAGAAAATGATTACTGAGCAGGGTCTTGAAAGGACAGGTGGGATTTCAATAGGAAAAGTGAAGTCAGGATATTTGAAGTGACCAGAGATAAGGGAGAATAGGGACTGGAAATAAAGTAGAACAAGTAGATCCAAACATATAAAACTATTTTTTAAAAACAGAATATGATTATATTTAACGCACAACCTTAATATTTGATGCAACCAAAAAGTAAAACACCGGAGTAAAATAGTAACAAAAAACATGGTATATTGTTTGCAATGCATGAGAAATGGTTAACATCTTTAGTTATAAACAAGCTCTTAAAATCCAGTGACACTATAATGATGCAAGGAAGCTGGAAAAATGAAATGAAAAAGTATAAGTGATGATTAAGCAGTGAGCATATATGATTTTGCTGAGCAGTGATGGAGAATAACTTCTCTGCAGTGTCAGTGAGCAGAATAAAGACAATGACACCTAATAGTCTACAGCTTTGAACAGTGTTGTGCAGTTTGAAGTCTCAAACAGGGGGAGGCAGAATAAAGAGAAGGACCTAGAATGAGGGAAAAGCTAACTTCTGCAGATAAAACTTTTGAAAGCTAGACCCAGGTGTCTGGATTTGCTGTCATAGACAATAGGGAGCCAAAGGTTTCTTAGGAAGGAAGACTTTGATAGAGGCAATTTGAAGAAGTTTAGCCTGACCAGTGTGCATGATAGATTAGAAAGGAGAGTGATTGGATGGGGTCACAAGAAAAATTGCAAATAAAATGCAATTTGCATTATGACCAATAAGTTCCTTTTTCAGAGGGGCATCAAAAACCTTTTTTGAACACCTAATGTGTAGCAAGCACTGTAGTAGGAGATAAAAGACACAGTGTCTCCCTCAAATTGCTCTCAGTAGATTTGGAGAAAATGATAGTACAGATTATAAGTATTATGACAGAGTGGAAGCCCAGGGTAGTATGGAAGTGCATGACAAAGAAACTTAGTCCAAAAAAAGAAATGAAAAAAAGAAAAAGAAAATAGAAAGAAAAACACAAAACAAAAAGAAAAGAATAAAAAAAGAAACCTAGTCCAATCTTATGAGTCAGAGGCAATTTCTCCTTTCTGAGTTAAGGTTCCTAACCTAATTCCTATTTTAAAATATGAAATGAATTAGTTAAGAGATGAGCAGTGCCCCCTCTAAACAGAAGTTGCAACATCACAAAGCCCCAGAGGCCTGAGAGGGTGGAGCTTCTTCAAGGGGATGGGGGATGTTAGATAAGAGTAGGGGTTGGGAGGCTAAATGAAAATATGGGAAGAAGACCTAGAGGAGCCGAGATGACTCCGGTGGGACTATATCACAGAAGGACTTGCATGCTATGCTAAGAGTTTGGATTTATCCTGAAGTCAATGGAAGAATTGAACAGGGGGTTTCAAATTAGGTAACTCAGCAGGTAGTCTACAAAGAATGGATTGAGCCCAGCTAGCATGGTTCTGTGGTTGAGAGTCAACCTATGAACCAGGAGGTGATGGTTTGATTCCCAATCAGGGCACAGTGTGGAGTGTGCAGGAGGCAGCCGATTGATGATTCTCTCATCATTGATGTTTCTATCTCCCTCTCCCTTCCTCTCTGAAATCAATAAAAATGTCTTTAAAAAAACCAAAACAGAATGGGCGACATGGAGTTAAATATAGAGAAGGAGTTGTATAGCATCGACAAAAGATAATGAGAGCCCAAACCAAGGTTGAGTCAGTGGTGGTAGAGATGAGGACGTAGATTGGGTTAGGGTTAAAGAGAATCAGTGGGACCACTAAGATGAATGAACACTGGAGAGGTAAATACCTTAACTTCAAGGTCTAATTTGGCAAAACACTGATCATCCCTCAGAGAAATTAAAAATCCAAGGAGTGTGCAGCTAACAGAGGAAACTGCCTTTATAGGTTTTAAAAACAGAACAGTTTTGACATCATGTGTTCAAATACACGGGTTCCAAAAATATATGCAGACAGCTTTTACCTATTATCCATAGAAGTTCAATTTGTTTTTGTTGAGTTAGTGCCTTATTAGACCAATTTGTTACCGAATTTTACTAGGACATGTTTCTGCCCTATAAAAATGAGTATCAGAAACTGAACAACAGAAACAAAAAGGTATCCTAAAATGGTGGGTGGTGGGAAGATAATGAGAAGGTTGTGTTGAATGTAGACATGTGATCTTCCAAGAAGAGCTACCCTTCTCTTGCCCAGTGCTTACCTCTCCCATCAAGTTCTCAACCAGCTTAACTTCTCAACCCTAGAGTTCTTCCTTCCCTCTCTACTTAATTAGAAGGGAGGTAGAAAAGTCCAGAAACTATTTCCTATTCAAGGAAACAAACATCCCAAATGTGTGTTTGTTTTCTTGGTAATTGTGATGAATGGAACAGTGTTGACTGTAAACAAAAAGCCAGCTTTTATTCAGGAACAACAGAGTATTGCAATCTGCAACACACAGTGATGGGGGGCGGAGGAGGGGAGCATGCAAGTCTGGAGAAGCAAGGGAGAGGAAGCTCTTTTATGGACGGAAAAAAGAAACTGAGATGGCAGTTACATACAAAGAGATTCCCCCGTTGGGCTTTTCATGACCTAGGGTGTGAGAGCTCCCCCTTCTGGCCTCCCTACTTCACTTTAAATGATTTTGTTTATTAATTTTTACAAAGGGAAAATTTCCTTTGCTTAGCAACCTTTCCCTAGATCGAAGCAATCAATAATTTATGTAAGAGGCCATGGGAAATATGCTTAAATTACTAAGGAAAATATATTTAAAGAAACAAATTATTCTCTAAGAACATCAGCACTACTTGGGTTTTTAAAATGAAAATTTTATTTCGTTTTTAAAGTAAATAAATAAATTTATTAAACTACCTTTCATAACATTGGTGATGCCTTCTAGGAGTCACATCTTACATTTAGAAAAGAAAAAAAATTTTTCAATAAAATTTAAAAATAGAAACTCTTACATCTATCTCCTCTTAACTCCACGGCACCAAAAAACCCACTTATTACATGCCAATGAGCTGTTACAATTGGCTTTCAGTCCTCCTGTTTTCATTTCTCCCTACTCCAAGCCAACTCTGCTGCCACTCATCTTGTCACAACTCTTGTCAGGTTACCCATGAATGATTCAAGCTCCTCAAGCTGAAATGCCAAAATGTCTACCATGCAGCAACCACTTACTTTTCCAACCTTTTGCCACTCCACCCTAGAGTGTATAGCTGCTGTTTGCTTCATTTCCTTACTAGGTTGTCAGCCTTTCGCATCAGGGAAGGAGTCTTATCAGTTTTTTTTTTTCTGAAGTAAAAATTTTAATTGATTGATATGCTGATATCAAAATAGTTCTTATAGTTTTTTTAATATTTTTTAAAATATGTTTTTATTGATTTCAGAGGGGAAGGGCGAG